AGCAGTGATCTTACGAGACTAGTACTAGCAATCGGTTTTTCCTGGGAGCCCAGCATTGTTTCCTCGGGCTGACCTGCTCTCTGTAGCCCAGGAGAGAGTCATATTAGAACACGGGTGGTCTGTAAGGACTCTGTGGGCACATGTGGGGTGTCACGTGCAGTTCTGGGCAAAATCTAGAAACCACACTGGAACCTAAATGGAGAGCAACTGAAGGAATTTGAAGACATGCCCTTGAGCCTGGGAAATGTCCCAGGTTAGACTTGGGATGGGACCTCTGAGCAAAGTGCAGGAAGCCAGAATGCAGGTCACATGGGGACTTCCCCAATTGCCCTGGGAGCCCTCAGCTCCTGTCTGCAGAGGTGTGAAGGCACATGCAGCAACAGGTTCCACCTGGAGGGATGCTGGATCAGGTCACCAGTAGGGTTCCGTCCAGCTCTAGTGTGCAGCGTGTGTTGCTTTACACCTCAGAGCTGGGGCAGAAAAATCACGGCATCGGGGACCTGCATTGACAAGGAAGCTCATGAAGTCTTAGAACACACAGTCAACAAAGTCAAGTCATCTCAATGATTTTATTTTGATTGCATGTTGGAATGGTAGTAATTTGGATATACCGAGTTAAATAAAATATATTGAAATTTATTTCAATAACTGCTGTTCTGGAGTTCAGGGGAGTTTTAAAAACATGAATTCAGGTTCCTCAGCCCTCAAGACTTTCAGTTCAAGATAAGACCATCAAACTCAGTCTCAGTGATGTCTGCACTCCACAGATCACCAGTTCACTGAGCATTTCTGCATTTTATCCTGCCCATCTACAGTTTCCATGAAACACCAAAGGGCGTAAGCCTTATTTGTTAAGGAAATTTAGAAAATAAATAACAGAGAACTTTTGTTAAGGACAAATGACCTTGTTAAGAGTTTGACGTGGTTCTTCAAAGGTGGACAGCAGAGATCTGTGCATACACACATTCAGCAGCCACTCAGTCCCAGGTGTGGCAAAGCTGCGGTTTCTGCTGACGTATGGGAATGCTACTGCGACTCTAATCCTGGCTAATTCTGCCTGGCTTGCAGTTCCTTTAAATTTAAATAAGCATGGTTTTTAAAGACTGGAAAGTCCTGAGGATATGATAGGATAGGGATGATAGTTTTCACTGTCTCTTGTTTCCTGAGAGAAAATAATGTGGCATCTTCAAAACAGCATCTGTCAGAATGGTTTTCATCAGATTAAATAAATCCTCAAAGCAGCTACCACAGTTTATAGAATCTCAGAAATGTAGGTTGTACTTTGCATGGAACACTAATGGAATTTAAAACACGTGTTTTTTTGCAAGCACAGCTTTGTACCCAGATTCCTTACCAGGGTTTCTTGTTTGTGAATCTTTGTTTAAGCTATCATATCTCAAAGATTTTAAAAAGTGTTTTTACTATATAAATGTAATAAACAATCGTTTACAAAGTTAAGGTGCCAATAATTGTGGGTGGAAAACGGTGTTGTGCTCAGGGGCCTCTGGCCAAGCTTGGTGAACACCTGCAGTGCGACATGTGCCATGCTGAAAGAAGAGTTCTGTGAAGGTGGGCGTGGCTGGTAGATGCCAGGGACCAGGCCAGCTTTTTGCCGTCTGTTCACAGGCAGCTGCCATATGCTCTTACAGGCGATGATGGCCTTTTCAGTTTTAGAGAAGAGAAGAAGGATTTTTTTCGGAGGACTTTTGGTTCTTAAAGACCTTGAAGGAATGATCAATACAGATTGATATTTATTATTCTTTGCTGCAGGGAAGCTTATTCTTAAAATTAGTTAAAATTAGCTAAGTCTAAACCACAATGAGATACCACTTCACACCTATTGGAATGGCTTTTGTCAAAAATAAAAAAGGAAATGTGTTGGTGAGGATAATTAGGAATCCTTGTGCATTGCTGGTGGGAATGTAAAATGGTTCAAACACTGGAAGACAGTTTGGCAGTTCCTCAAAAAGTTAGACACAGAATTATATGATCCAGCAATTCCACTGTAACCCAAGGGTCCATCTGCGGATGAGTGGATAAATAAAATGTGGTATAGACATACAGTGGAATATTATTTATCCAGCCTCAAAAAGGATTGAAATTCTGACACATGCTGCAACATAGATGAACCTTGACTCCACTTGTATGAGGTCCCTGGAGTAGTCACACTCATAGAGACAGAAAGTAGAATGGTGGTTGCTAGGAGCTGGGGGAAGTGGGGAACAGGGAGTTATTTTTTAGTGGGTACAGAGTTCTCATTGAGATGGCGAACAGTTCTAGAAATAGATAGTGGTGATGGTTGCATAACATTATAAATGTACTTAATGCTACTGAACTGTGCACTTAAAAATGGCCAAAATTATGGTAAACCGTTTTTCTTAATTAGTTGCTGAACTAGGTTTGGTTTTAAAGCAAATTTAGGAGATGGGTGAGCTTGGGCTCTATCTTCAGCAGCAACATTTTCCTGGAGCTGACCAGAGCTAAAGTAGACCCTCTATTGGTGTCCCTGTTGATTCCCACCTGAGTCTCCTCTCTCTCGGCCAAAGAAGACTTTGCACATGCAGCATTGTTCTTGAATTTCTTTTTTTTTTTTTTTAAGTGCCATGTTAAAGCAAGAGCCTTACTTGCAAATGTGTTGGATATGCAGAGTTTTCCTTTACTTCTCTCAGAACCTTATTTCTTACCAGTATCAAACAGATGGAGGCACTGGGAAACAGCAGTGCAAGATAAAGTCTTTGGGATCTTAACATTGCCCCTCCCTTGCCCCAAGGTAACCGGACAGAATGCACATTGCTTTGGTTGTGCCCCAAAAGGCTGCTCTGACCTGAGCTTGCTGCCATCAAGTCACATTCCCTGTCTTGGCTTCAGAATTAGCCTGCTGGGGTACACACAAGGCCAAGTTCACATTCCTTCCATCCTGAGTCCCTTTGATGGGGCCTGCAGACCTTTGTTCGTGCCAGCTTCTGGGCCGAGTCACAAACACCACTCCCAGCTGAGTGAATAGCCGCTTTGCACAGAGCCTGGTTTACAAAGCCAGCCAGCACCAGCTCATCACCGCACCCCACGAGCCCCACCTCACCTCCACCCACTGCCCTGATTGCTATCGGAAGTACATTTCTTTACTCTTGAGTCCAACACGCTCTCCCTTGACACGCTCTCCCTTTCTGAGCAGAAACTAACAAGCCACTAATACTCAGAAGATTAGATGGTGACTCATCAAAACACAGGTGCCTCCTGTAAGATCAGGGGTTTAGCGAAGAAATCATCCTCCACAGATACCTATGGAGACCCTTGAAATCTGCAACCACACTCCCTGACACCCCTGGAATAAGCCGGGACTTGGGGGGGGGTCATTGTTATTACCGGGAGTCCCTTTTAGCCCTCATAGTCTTGCATGGCCACTCAGCAGTCGTGATGGGACAGTCTCCTTGAGGGGCTCACATGAGGACAAGATGCTGAAGTGGGTATTAGGAAGAGGGAACTGGCCTCAGCAGGCCCCAAGCAGTCAAAAGCCAAACGTGAGGCTGCTTCTGTTATTTGGGTTTCTGACATTCCGGCTGGAGCAGGTTCGTCATGATCCTTTACCCTCACAGTTCACACACATCTCCTGTGAGATGTCTCGAGGCAGTTGGGTGGAAGAGTGAGACCCATGGCAGGTCCCTGGGGTCTGGACACCTGTATGCACACAGATGGGAGCAAGTGCTGGGGATAGACTCCTGATAACCAGGTTCCCAAGAGCCATGGGTGGCACGGCTGCTGCATGGTGGGGCTGGGGTGTCACGAGGAGCTTGTCGGGAGCCTCCGGCATGGAGGCTGCTGGAAGCTACTGGAAGCTGGTGCCTGTCTTTTCTCTGCATCCAGTGTTTGCCACTCCACCTCCACAAAGCAAGATCTACTAGTCAGGGGCAGCCTGCTTACGGTCCCATTTAGTGTGTGTGTCTATTTTATACCTCCATGAGTTGCCCCCTGATGGCACTGTCCCAACAGGCATTTCAGAGGTGCATACACCTTGTGCACTATCCCAAACTGTGTCCCATTGTTTTTAATCTATGATATATGCACCATCAAAAAAAATACATGGAACAGTATATCCTAACATTGAATTGTGCTCCGCAGGTCCTCAGGTCAAGGAAGCAAATTACAAAACACTCTTTTTGTAAGAAAAAAATTTAATAAGAAAATAAGCAAGTACATCTACCCATAAGAAAGACTAGAAGGGTGTCTACCATGTAAACAGTGATTATCTCCAGGTGGTAGCAGTTGAACGTGCTTTGTCTGCATTTCAGCAACGAACCTGTGTTACTCTGGTGCTGTGTTCCACTCCTCAGTACTGTGCCAGTTTTGGCGAGCTCAGTGTGAGTTAAAATGTTAAGAAGTGACAGCAGCTTCACAAGGACCTTACACGTGTAATACGTGGGGGTCCATAGGGGCCTGGAGTTTTATGTAGGGTCTCATGCCAGCCGTGGGCTCCATGAGGACGCTAGGAAGGAGACCCTTGGTTGATGAGTCTCCAATGTATCCCAGTGTGAAGCTGCCTCAGAGGAGCGCCCGTTTCCAAAATTGCATTAAACCAGAACTGCTGGGCTTGCCCATGGTTAAGAGCGCAGTTGGTTAGAGTACGGTGTTTTAACACGAGGTCAAGGGTTTGGATCCCTGTCCTGGCTAGTCAACAAAAACACTGAGGATTAACCAGAAAAACAAAAACATGAAGTGTTTTTAGGCAATTCTGCCTTTGGCTGCGATCTCTTTTCCTCTCTCACTGTATGTCTGCCCTGAGCTCAGGAGAGGGAGGCTGCTGAGCCACACAGCCCAATCGACATGACGAAAACCTCAGAAGAAGAGCTTTGCCCGCATCCCCTCCCTGCTCCTCAGAGTGGCCCAAATGGCCACTGCTGATTCCACCCCTAAAAACAGTCTGGTCCACATTCACGGTGCCTGCCTCTGCACTCACCTGTAGTGAATTGTTCTGTAAACCCGCCTTCTCCCATCTTGTCTTCCAGTCCACCCAAACCGACTGTGTTCATCTCTGGTGTTGTCGCCCGGGTAAGAGCTCCTCGCGACCTCCGCCAGCATCTGCAGTGGCCGCCAGCTCAGCCCAGTGCGCCCTCCCCCACTCCTCCTGTTCCCGTTCAGCTCTGCCTGGAATAACCAGACAACACTGCGCATCTAACCCGGGTCGGGGCTTCCTGGGCGCTCACGTTCCAGCGAGCTTTTGTGCTTTTGCAGTTAAGAACGTGTGATTCAGCAGATGGGAGCCACACAGGCTGCAGAACCACCTCCCTCCTCAGACTGAGCCAGGGGTCACAAGCTAGGGCCCGCAGGCCAGGCATTTTTAAGTGACCTGTGTGCTGAGAATGTCTTTATATGCTTAGATGATTGAAAATATCAAAATGTGAATTACATGTCATGACACATAAGAATTAATGAAACGCAGATTTAGTGTCCACGAATGAAGCTTTGGTGGCATGGCCATGCCCTTTCATTTACGACCCATTTGTGGCTGCTTTTGTTTGCCAACCGTGCACTGAACTCATGGTTTTTGTCACACCTTTTACCTTAGAAGAGCCCCCTTCTGGTGAGATCTATATTTTTGTCTTAACTACAGACTTTCCACCAGCAAATTCCCACAGAGTGCCATCCATGTCCCTCAGGACATTCGATCTTTATCATATGTTGTCTGAAGAAAATGCCATAGTTGGGGACAGCTCACTGTCGGTGGAGCTGTGACCACAGCCACCCAGAGACCCTGCACGGACGGGTGGCATATGTACTACATGTGAGAAAATTGAATGCTAGCACAAGTCTGAGCTCACACCTCAGCCAGTTGCCCCAGCTCCAGTCATACACCCACTGATGGCACGAGAAGCTGATTCATCCCGGACACAGCCAGATACCTTCCCCGAGACTCAGCAGGTCAAATCTGCTCTGTTTTATGCTTTCAGCCCTTGCCTGTGACTTTCTTTCCCAACCAGCATCCAGGTCTGGCTCACAGCTGTGGCAGCAAATCTGAATTCAGACTAGATTTAGCCCTGTCTTGCCCCCATTCAAATGATCAGATGGTCTGTTCACAAAACAGACCTAGCAGAAGAAAGCTGCTGCACCCACCTCGTTGCGAGTGAGTGGTACGGTGCCTGTGTCTTGTGGCATGGGGCAGTGAGCACTCTCACCGTCCTGATGGTGCCTGGCCTCAGTGCCACCTGCAGCTCCCAGCTCTGATACCCATGAGAGCTTCCAGACCCCCTCCAGCCAACAGGAGACAGGCTTCTGCCTGCTGATGGGTTCACCATTTCATCACCTACTCAGTCCCCACCCATGCTGCAGGGACGGGGGCTGGACGCTGGGGTGGGGGGCTTCCTCTTACACTCGCCCAGACGTTCACTGTTGATCAGCCTCTGTGTTCTGTGTCTCCTGACAGGGTGACAAAGACTTCCCCCCTGCAGCCGCGCAGGTGGCTCACCAGAAGCCCCACGCCTCCATGGACAAGCACCCTGCCCCGAGAACACAGCACATCCAGCAGCCCCGCAAGTGAACCAGCACCCGGACCCCGCACCCTCCCCAGCAGTGCCATTCTCCTGCATGTGATATTCCGAGCAGAGAGAACTGGCACGCTGCAAAGTATTGCTCGATTGGGAAATCTAAGACAAAGCAAAGCGAACCTTCCTTTGCCTTAAATTTCCATATTTAAAACTAGAAATGGCCCAAACCCCAAACCTTGTTTACAGGGCAGGGAGTCCTGGCTAGATGCCATTCGAGGGCTGTTGTGCCCCAGAAGTGCCATTAGCAGAGTTGCCAAGACCCTAGTAAAATGAAGTCATTCAAACTTTAGCTTTAGTTCTGTTTTAGTGATTTCCTAGGGTCCTTATCTGTGATCTTAAAAACAAGAAGGCACAAACTGGGGAGCATTAGATTAAGGTTAGGGGAAAAGCTCAATCATTTCAGGCTTTTTAGTAATAGGACAATAAAGTCTTCACACCCACAGGAGAGTCAGCAATAAGGAAGTTAATTAAGGTGGCCGGTTTTGGAAAGGCAGCGTAGGAAAGACCTTTGCCACAGGCGACAGCAACACCAAGTGTTCCTCCCTTGTGGGGTGAGGGGTTGCTGTACAGGTGATCAGGCTCTCACAGGGGAAGCCAAAGAAAAACATGCAGCTTTGAAATGGCTCTCTTATTCCAGGAGGCATCATGCTGAGAAATGAAGATGTAGGCAGGGGAGCATTTCTGAAATGAGATCTCAACATGGGTCCCAAGTCCAGCATTGCCTCAATCCAGAGAGGCTCCACCAGGAAAATCAAGGCAAACCTGCATGTTTCAGTAACCACACCGATGGTTTTGAGTTCTGGAAGTGACCACTGACCAGGGCGGAGGAGGAGACTTATTGCTAATTCTATAACACGTGAACGAGAGTCAAAAGCATGAAAAGACCAGGTGAAAAACCTGCTCTTGTCTCTCTAGGGAGGTGTAACACCACATTCCCTTTGAGCTAGAAAACCTGTTTGCCAGTCAGTCTAACTGTACAGAATGCCTCCTGCCCCACACGTGTACCTGCCTGGGCCGGTCTTCACGGGCACGTCAATTGTCCTCTGACCTACATACGTGTTTCCTGCTCAGAGCCACTCTGCCCTGCTCCCTGGATCTGGCCATAACATGCCATGCTTTTCTGGAAAAACAAAGGGCTTATCTAGTCAGACATTAAAATCTTCTGGATCAAAGCTTATGGAAAGGGTGCAGCCCCGACTGTCCTCTCCCCAACAATTGAATTTGCTGCAGGTCAGCAGTGGTACTGGAAGCAGGGTCCATACCACCAGCCTTCCTGATACCATTCTCCAGTCCACACCTCCAGCTGGTGTCAGTACAGGCAGAGCTGTCAGGCCCAGCTCTCTCTCTTCCCTGAGGGACAAGCATAGCACTGCCTCACATTTTAAAGGCAGTGTTTGGCTTCCCAGCTAACTGACTTAGGGGAAGCCCGAGTGTCACCCTCAAGGCACTGTGTCATTTCCCCTCACGGAACACACGAAACTAGCAGCCTCCTCCCGGCCTGTCTTGGGAAGCCAGCATCTAGGAAGGGCCACCTGGAACGGCAGCACCAATCAGGCCTGTACAGACCATCATACCCTCGGCTACAGAAATTCAGAAGCATCTTGAATACTTTTTAGTTCTGCAGCCAGAGGGAGTACCATTCTTTCCAAAGGTGTGTTTTTCCTGTACTTTTAACTAGATCTGGCATGCATCTCTAGGCTCTAGAACATTGAATGCAAAATGTTTTCCTAAATGAATTTATCCATGGTTAACACTGAGAATAATTATGATTATAATAAAGCTCCTGCACTTCTCGTGGTTTGTCTTTTCTTATATTTCAGAGTCCCTCTTACATTCCACTAGGGTTACCAGATGGTTTCAATAGAAATACAGACACGTACATGATGGATATTTTCAAAAATTATTTGCCAGACACAAAGACAAACTATTGGACATCTGGCAACTCAGGTCTAATCATCTACTTAAAATGTCATAAAATGGAAAAGCTTAATACAGTTGATTAAAATATATTACTTGGGCCCAGCAGCTAGCTCTGTGCTACGCAGGCCCTCTGGGAACAGATCTGAGCTAATTAGTAGTAGCAAGCCCGGGGCAGCAGTGAGCAGCTTTTGATGTGCAAGACATTCGCCTTTATCAAAGGTCTTCTGTGACCCTTGTGAGTAAGAAGAGAACCACGGCTGTTAAACTGAGAGATCCAGAATCAGATCCCAGGATTTGAGCTGGGAGGGGCCTTGAAGTTTTCCCACTCAGAGCCATGTTCATCAGGAAAGGACTGGGTGACGCACTTGCTTGGGCAAGGCGGTCCTGGCTGGAATCCATCTCCCGACAGCCCGGTCTTGCCTGCGCCCTCCGTAGTGCCTCTGGAAGCTGCTGTTTGTTCCTGTTCTCTGGCATCCTGTGTCTTGTTCTAAATTGAGGACGGGAACCAGGGTCTTACTCATCCTGTATTGCTGGACAGAGAGTCTGCTGTCAGTAAATAAATAGTGGTGGACAGAAATGCAGACACGCCACAAACTGAGCAGAACTGTCCTCGAGGGCTTTCTGCATTGTTCAAAAGCATTATTGTCACCAGCATCAGGTTCCTGAGGCTGCTGTGGTGTGACAAACGGGAGTCTAGAAGTTTGAATCAATGTGTTGGCAGGGCCATGCACCCTCCAGAGGCTGTGGGGGAGGATCCTTCCTCGTCTCCTCCAGCTTCTGGCGGTTGCTGGCCATCCTTGGCACTCTGGCTCGTGGCAGCATAAATCCAAAATCACAGTGCCATCACATGGCCATCTCCCTCTATGTGTGTCAGTGTCTGAATTTCCCTCTTCTTCTAAGGACTCCAGTCATTAGATTACTGCCCAGTCTAATGCAGTATGACCTCATCTTCACTAATTGCATCTGCAAAGACCTTTCCAAATAAGGTCACATTCACAGGTCTTGAACATGTCTTTTGGGGGGGCATTATTCAACCCAGGACATAAACCATATGCTGAAAAGCCAGGAACCTCACTCCCAGCCCACACCATTTTAATAACTTCATTCAGTAAATTGCTTTTCTGAAAAGAAAGAAAAAAAAATCTTTTCTTTGATAATGCCTCACCTGCTACAAATATAACACAGTGTCACTGGCCATGGAGCAGTTAAAGCCCATCTGCAGGGGGCAGGGAGAGAAGACTGGAAGCAGGGATTTGAAGGGTTGGGAGGGCTGTCTGCCCCTGGTTCCAGTCACTTGTGAGAGCTGCAGCTCTCAGTCACACATGCCCTTAGTTCAGAGAGTCACTGTGCTTCCAGGTCACACTTGTTCTCTAAGACAGTGCTCCATCAGTGGTGGTTGTTTCATTTTGCAAATGGAAAGGTTGAAGCTCAGTGTCTGGTGTCAAAAGTCACTGTTAGCAAACACTTCTCCAAGGAAGATACACAGATGGCCAACAAGCAGAGGAAAAGGTGCTCAACATCTTTAGTGACCAGGGAAATGCAAATCACATATCCACAATGAGATGCCACTTTGTCAAGATGGCAAGAATCAAAAAGTCAGATAATGACAAGAGTTGATGAGAATGTAGAGAAATCAGAAACCTCATACAGCACTGCCAGCAATGTCAAGCGGTGCAGCTACTGGGGAGAACAGTCTGGCAGTTCCTCAAACAATTCAACATAGTTACCACATGCCCCAGCAATTCTCTCCCAGGTTTATACTCAAGACCAGTGAAAACATGTCAACACAGGGATCCGATCAAGATGGCAGAATAGATGATCCCCAGCGTCACTCTCTCCCACAAGTCAACCAAATTTACAACTATAAAAATGTAACATCAGCCAAGCTGGGGCCACTGGAGCTCAGGGGAAGAGGAGGAGAGACCTACAGAGTTCATGAAGGTGGGAGAAACCACAATGAGAGAAAGAAAAAGCTGCTCTGAGCATTTCGGTTCGCGGCTGCTTTAAGGCTCAAGCTGATGAGCACATGGAGCAGGAGCCGGCAGAAGCCACAGCTGTGCCCTTCAGATGGAGTTGCTTGGAGGCAGCAGGGGAGAAGAGGGTGTTGGTGGCCCCCAGGACAGCAAGACCACTAATAGGGTTCCCATGGACCCACACAGGAGCGAGGAGCCAGAACAAACCAGAAAAAAGGGGAGCCATTCAGAGGCCGGTGAGTCATCGCAAGGGACCAGCGCAGGGCCCATCCCATGGGAAGTGTTTGGAGCACAGGCGGTAGAGGAGACAGGCCTACCAGGGGAACACTGAACACAGCAAGGACAGCTGATCTGCCCCCCAATCAGCACAGGACCACTCAGAAGAGACTGGTCAGGAATAGAGAATTGCATGGGGTGCAGTTTGATGAAAAGACTCAGGCCCAGATCAGAGTTTCTACAGAACCCAGGTGCACTGGGTCTGTGGAGAGCCGGAAGTACCTATAAGGTCAACCATTAACCCCTGAGCTGCACAAAAAGCCTTCCCTAGGGAAACAGCAGCAAAGCAACAATTTAAACAACCACACAGCTCAAGTACTGGTTCCCACAGGAGGTTCCCCCATGTTAGAAGCAAAGAACAAAAAATTAGTTCTGGCCCAGTCACACCACCAGCGCCTTGGGACCTGCCTGGGAACTGGAGGCTTGGATCTGGGGACGGACCCCACTCCCACTTCCCGGCAAACTGCACCAGTGCCTTGGGGCCAGCCTGGTGACCCGAAGCATGGAGAAGGGGACTGGACCCGCCCCTCCCACAACCGGGCACACCACGCCAGCACCTTAGGGCCTGCCCAGGGACCGAAGGCAAGGAGAAGGGGACCGGACTTCTCTCCCACAACCAGGCACACCACGCCAGCACCTTGGGGCCTGCCCAGGGACCCAGGGCACAAAGAATGGGACCAGACTACCCTCCCACAGCCAGGCACAACATGCCAGCACCTCGGAGCCCACCCAGGGACCTGGGGCAAGGAGAAGGGGAATAGTCCTCTCTCCCACAACTAGGCACACCATGCCAGTGCTTCAGGGCCTGCCCAGGGACCTGAGGCATGGAGAAGGGGACTGGACTCCCCACTCAAAGCCAGGCACACCATGCAAGCACCTCGGGGCCCACCCAGGGACCTGAGGCAAGGAGAAGGGGACTGGCCCTCTCTTCTACAACCAGGCACACCAAGCCAGAGCCTTGGGGCCTGCCTAGGGACCTGAAGCATGGAGAAGGGGTCTGGACCTCTCTTGCACAACCAGGCACACCAAGCCAGTGCCTCAGGTCCCGCCCAGTGACCTGAGGTATGGAGCCAGGTACTGGACCCTCCTCCCACACCAGGCATAGAATGCCAGCACCTCAGGGCTCACCTGGGTACCCGAGGCATGGAGAAGGGGACCGGATCCTCCTCCCACAACCAGGCACATGGTGGCAGCACCTTAAGGCCTGCCCAGAGACCCGGGGCATGGAGAAGGGGACCAGACTTCCCTCCTCAACCAGGCACACTGTGCCAGCACCTCGGGGCCCACCCAGGGACCTGGTACAGGGAGAAGGGGACCAGACCCCTCTCCCACAACCAGGCACATGGCGCCAGCACCTTGGGGCCTTCCCAGGGACCAGAGGCATGGAGAAGGGGACCAAACACACCCCACAACCAGGCACACCACCAGTGCCAAGGAGCATAACAAAAATAGCACCTCTACTTGGGTGGCCCACCACAGCCACCACAGTAACCATGGCTGCCGCAAAAGTGGCTAGATGCCACAACCACCACACAGATGGTCCGCCAACCATTGGAGCACATTCACACAAGAAGAGTTGCTAGCAAAGACAAAGAAAAGAAGACGATGTCTCTTTCCACAAAACCCATTTCAGAGTGACAGAAGACGCATCTGCTCTATGATAATATTGGGGAACCTGATCATATCTCTCAGCGTTGGACAGATCATCTAGGCAACAAATCCAGAGTAACCATTACTCTTTGAGAAGGAGAGAAGAAATCTAGGGTTATCAGAGGCGGGAGGGAGAGGCAGAGGGGGATGGGGAGAGACTGGACAAGGGGCATAAAGAATAATTATGATTTGTAACAATATATATGCTAGTAATATTGATTTAATCAACATATCTCAATGTTCAAGCCCAAAAATATGTGTAATCGATTTTGATTCAACAAATAAAATTTTTAAAAAACATGTCAACATGAAAACATGTACACATGTGTTTACAGCAGCATTATTCACAGTTGCCCAAAGTGGACACAATCCAAATGTCCATCTGCTGAAGAATACCACATTTTGTGTATCCACACAAAGAATATTATTCAGCCATAAAAACGAGTGAAGGACTCAAACATACTGCAACACGGAATAACACTGAAAACATGCTCAGTGAAAGAAGCCAGTCTCGAAAGATCACACATCATATGATGCCATTCATAGGAAATGTCCAGAACAGGGAAATCTATAGAGACCAGGCTTAGGGCTGGTGGGGGCAGGGAGAATAAGAAGGTGACAGCTAAAGGGTTGGGGGTTTCTTTTGGAGATGATGAAAATACTCTAAAATCAACCGTGGGGATGCGTGCGTGTCTGTGAATGTGCTTGAGAGCCACTGAAGTGTGCACTGTAGATGGAAGAGCTGTTCAGTATGGTAGCTACACCTCAAAGATGTTTTCTTAAAAGTCACTATTAGCAAATGGCAGAGCTGAGGCTTGAATCCAGGTCATTCTGACGGCAGAGCATCGTCTCCATGGCGCGTCATGTCTCCCTCAGCCATGGTCTTGGGAGGAAAGAACAGGAAGCCCAGGTAGGAACTGCTGCTGCTGCGACACGATCGCAGAGTGTGGTTCTGAGGCGAGGGACAGGAGACGCAGGAGACGCTGCGGCTGCGAGCCTGGGTGGCCAGGGTGTTGGGGAAGGAGTTGACAGAAACGAGCACCGACAGCGGGAGAATGAGTGTGGGAGGCGAGAGACCATGGGCAGAGTCTGATGTGTCCCCCTCCTGGCAGAGCGACTGAGCGGGGCTCCGACAGGTGGGACCAGAGCCTGCGGGGTGCGGGGCGGGAGAGCAGCTGGAGGTGTCTGCGAGGAGGTGCCACTGAGGCGGGCTGGGCAAGGGGGCGCGGGCCAGCCCCGGCACAGCCACGTGAGCCCGAGGTGCGACGGAGGGAAGGGGAGCACACACGGATGGGACCCAGGGGCTGAGGATGGCCAGGTGCTAAAGACAGGTGACAGTTCCATCTCCTGGTGACCCGAGAGCCGGGGTCTCTGGTGGAGGGGAGGCCAGAAGCCAGACTTCCAGGAGTCAGAATAGAGGTTTGTCCATAATGGGAAGAAGAGGAAAGTGGGTTTGAAGAAGGGACGGCTGTTTTCAGCATGAACTAAAGGGAGAACTGAACTTGCTGTGAGGAAGGCCCAGAGTGACTGAAGGCATGAGAAGAGAACAGCAGCCAGATGGTCAGTGATGGCAATGGTAGCGGAATCACTGGAAGGTGGGCTCGGGCTCCAGAGCAGGGAGCCCACCCTGGAGATGAAGATGAGCATGACAGAAGTTGGTGTGGACGCAGGACAGTGGTGTGGAGGTCCGGAAGAGGACAGCTAAGGCCACCCGCTCAGCAGCGCCAGCTCAGCCCTCTCAGCAAAGCCCATAGAAGGCCGTCTGTGAACAGGCAACAGAAAGGTCGCCATGTGTGACCCGCAGGCCAGTGAAAGGCGATTCAGAAGGTTGTCGAGGGGCCGGCCCGGTGGCGCACTGCTACAGTGCGCCGCTTGGGAGCATGGCGGCACTCCCGCCGAGGGTTCGGATCCCACATACAGACCGGTTCCCGCTCACTGGCTGAGCGAGGTGCGGGCGCAACACTGAGGGTTGTGATCCCGTTGCCGGTCCCAGTCCAGTACGGGTGCGACCCTGAGGGTTGCGATCCGTTGCCAGAC